ATCAGCCCCTCTCCCTGCGTCTCCTTTTCAGGAATCCGATCGTGGGATGTGGACCTGACCGCCTGCAACCTGGACGAGCAGCTGAAACTGTTCGTGTCGCGACACTCCGCCACCTTCTCCGAGGAGGTCAAAGGTAAGTGCTCTCGCCCTGCAAGACGCCCACAGTGGCAGACCGTGATTCAGTGCTGAGCTCGGGTGTGTGACCACAGGGCGTGAATCATTACCACGCATCACTCAACTCCCTCCGGCCCTCCAGGACTGGGGTCGGACGCCTGCTCTAAGGGGTATGATTCTGTTCAGCTGTTTGAACGGCGATGTGCATGCAGCTGGACTCTCACAGCACTGAGCCCTCTTCAGGAGGTGATGTCACCCCCTTGGAAGCTGAATGGCCTTGAATGCTCCTTTAGAGGGAGGTCCAGCCTCTTGCTGACTCTGAAGTTTCTGTGTCTGAGAAGTCGTCCCGATCAGATGATCAGAACCCTGGTGGACTGGCAGCCCTGCACCTGTAACTGTTGTCCGTTTTGAGAGTCATCGTTTGATGGCGTGGTTGGTGCACTCTGCCACACTCCCAGTGCAGCCTTGACCATCTTGTAAAGGGGAGCTGCCAAAAGGCCACACTCATCCCACCACAGCCCACTAAACTGGGACACCAGCAGAGCGGCCTTGTCGGTTATCTGTCCATTCATTTCCTAACCGCCAAGGTAGGGGAGTTGGAGCCTATCCCAGCATGCAGCGGGCACAAGGCAGGCTGCTGGACCTGCTGGGTGGGAAGCCAGTCCATCGCAGGGCACGCGCTCACGTGGCCAGTGTGGGAGAAAACCCACGTGAGCACGGAGAGAACATACAAACTCCACACAGACGGCACCCCAGGAATTGAACCAGGGGCCCCAGCGCTGTGAGGCAGCAGTCCTGACCACTGTGCCACTGTGGCCCCCTTTCTAATTTATCCCTAGGTTCATTGAAAGGGTAAATAGTGTTATATTTTCTTTACGTTTAGCGTACCTCTTGTTATGCCCCAGTCAGGTGAAAACGCTGAGTGGCGTGTTCTCCATCCCCCGGTCACAGACCTCCCGGGGCTGTAATGGGCTGAAACCGGCTGAGGCTGCTGGTCCCCACTGAATCCTTGTGAAACGCTGCTGCCAGACTGAGGAATAAGACATTGCAGCGTTATTCTGCCAGCACATTTCTAAAACACGCTGGATTTCATAACGGCCAGAAGCGGCCTGGCTGTGTTTTTTTTTTCCCCCCCCATCTTGCTTTTAAAGATACTTTAAAAATGTAAAATGGCCGAAGCTCAGCCGCTTGGGAAACACGGAGTCTCGGGTGGTTTTCACAGTTAGATCAGCGCGATGCTCTGCGACTCCACGTGCTCGGCCCGGCAGAGAGCAGCCTTTAGACACTCGCTGTGTCTAAACCGTTTTAGTCACGGCTGCGCTAATAAATCTCCCATAACCCCGCCTCCGGTTGTTCTCCTGTACATTTTGGGACTTTCTGGTTGGTTCTAAAATTTCCAAAAGTGAATTCATGTCAAGAGCTTCGTATGAGTCAGAACGGTCTGAAACGTTGTGCCATAGCGAATTCAAAGTTTTGGTTAGTCGAGCTCTGGGACAAATTTCTGCCTTGCCTGGTGGTTTTGGCGTTGTTGACGCGTGATTCCTGTTTTGCGGTTTGGTCACGCAAGCGAACGCCGGTCTTCTCCCAGCGCGTGATTCCGAATCTCCGCCCTGCTGTCCCAGGACCTCAGTCGGCTGTTGTGCTCCTCCAGCGCCGAACCCCAGCCCCGCTTCTCGCCCCGGGTGCAGCCTGTACTTGTAAAACAGAATTAAGTTTCCTTTTTTAGCTGCAGAGTTTTTTTTCTGCAAAGAGTACGAAACAATGGGATCCTTGTATCTGATGCCGAGGGCTTAAAAAACATTTTTATTTTTAAAAAAAGGGATGAAAATGGTTGGAGTGGACCTTTGCTCCACCACGGCGGACAATGGAGAGTCTGTCCTTGCAGCCTGCGTCAAGACGCTGAGGCCGCGGCCCTTGACAGGCGTGGAGAGCGCGTCTGGGCCGTGATGGGTGCTGCAGTATTTTTACAGCGCTGTGCTCCAGGCTGTGGGAACAGTCGTGTCCCTGTCTGTAGCCACGGACGCTGGGAGACCGAGCAGCCAGCTGACATTGTGATGTAGAAACAGTTTAAATTCCCCCACGGCACTTCATGCTCGCCAGTGAAGAGCGGAGTCCGAGTCTTGCTGTCGGCAGTGAGATGAGGAGGAGGCAGTGTGATGTAGGGGTAAATGCTGTGTGGATTCAGTGGCTGGTGGCTGTATGTTCCATACACTCCAGAGGCAAGTATATGATCAGGCAGTATGATCCTGCACGTTGAGAGAATGTCTTTGTGACCAACTGCCAGTCATGTACTGTATGCTAGACCTGTAAATAAGAGGCATATGGACCATCAAATGTGCAGCTAATTCAATTTAAAAAAAAATCAAAGAAAATGGAAACAAAATCCTAAATCTGATAGGCGGATCTGTTGAACTGCTGCCACCAAGTAGACTTTTGTGAAGCGTCGCACAGACCCTCGATTTCTTGATATGCAGTGTTTCCATGTTGGGTTTTGCAGTGTTCATATCGGTAATGGTTGTGCTTCAGTATTCAACCCCATCGGAGAGCTTGTAGACCTACCGTGGGTGGGCGTGGCCGTCAGGTGCCCCCTGTGCCAACGGGCAGCGTGGCCGTGACTGTTCATCGGGGGCTGCGTCAGCGTGGGGGCGCCGTGGCACGGCGCAGAGCCACCCTGCTCTGGCTTCTGTTACTTTCCTCCGTCGTGGGATTGGGTTTCTGCAGCCCGGGTGGGGAACAGTCAGGTCTCTGGCCCTGGCACGGGCCCTCCCCACCACGGCCCGCTGCTCGGATGACTTCCAGCGTGTGGGCTGGTCTCTGTGACCCCTCGCCTGGCTCAGCCCAGCCGGCCTTCGTGAGTCCTTGAAATCGTCAGCTGTTCGCTGCTGGGAGCCGGGTGGTGACTGGAGGGCAGGACTGGGACTGAGAGGTCTGTGTCATCGGTGCAGGCGGGAGGAGATGCTCTCGTGTGCCTCCAGTGTTTTTATAAGCCAGCTGTAGCTTGTGTACAGAAAGGTTTCATGTGCATTGCGGGCACATGTTTGTGTACCACTTGAACTGTGTGCATATCAGCAGCATCAGCAGCTTAGCGGTTGCTGTAAATTCTCCCCCGTGTCTTTACCGAGAGCGCACATTCTCCTGCGGTCGTGATCCGGTCTCGGGCAGGCTCGGCGCTCGCTGGAAGATGCCAGTCCTCGGAACAGGCTCCTGGATGGCGTTGCTTCGTGCCAGCGAGGCTGCGTGCGCGGAGTGGGGGGGGGGAGCGTGTTGCAGGATGGGGGGGCCACACTCGTGCTGAATTGCCCTGTGGGGGTTCGAGGCAGAGCCGATCGCTTGGGCTGCGTCTTGCAGTGTGAGAGCTCGGGCCCCCTCTGGGAAAGGAAGCCAGGCTGCTGGCGCATTGAGCGGCCTGGCGCCTACAGGAAGGAAGCAGTCCTGTGTGTGTGTGTGGGGGGGGTGTCCAGTTTTAATACTGCCCCCCCATGCCCCCGTCACTCTGCTGCGTTGGACTTATTGTCCTGTGAGGGCTGGGGGGTGGGGCCACACGGGGGCATGTCTTCAGAAGGATCTGTTCTCTCGAGAAAGTGCTGACTCGGTCTGCAAGAGGAAGCAACTTGGACGAGAGAGACCGCAGTTGTCTGCGGCGCTCAGAAGGACCCGAGCGCAGGGCAGTGGCAGGTGGGGCTGGCGTTACTTTCTTTTCTGTGTGCCTGGGGGGGGCGGCTGCTCGCGAGCTCCTGGCAGGACTGGAGTGATGAAAGCCGGAAGGAGGGCGAGGCGGGCGACTGATCCGAGAGGCTCCGGCGGTGAGCCGTGAGCTCTACAGGGTGCTGCCTGCGGCTTTGAAGAGCTCGGTGGCCAGAGAGCCAGGAAGCGGTGCAGTTGATGGTATCGGTAGTAAATTCCGGGCTGGAGTGTTTAATCATTTGGTAGCTGAAGGTTTTCAGTCTGACCTATAACTTCTTAAAGTTTATGCCTGTGTCCTCCTCTCGACTGTCCCTCCCATCCCGACACACTCCCACCACTTTCCCCCCCCTCAATTTGCAACTTCCTGCGCAGCTGTGTTTCATTTTATTGCTTCCTTCCTGACGCGCTCGGCCAGGGGCGAGAACAGTTCCGCCTCGGGGAGCGCTGCCCTGCGGTTTTGAGCGGGGAACCTCCCGTAGCGGAGCGTGGCGTTTCCCCCCACATTTCTACCTACATCCGTCTTCCTCTGTGTGCGTCTGGGCATGGAAAACACGGGCCTCTTCAGAAGTGCGCGCTCACAAGCGGATCCCACCGCCGAGCTGTCAGACCTCGCTTGAGGTCAGCCTGCCGTGCCCGTCTGAAGAGGCAGCTGTGTGAACCACAGGAGAGCTTTCCCCCGTCTTCAGGTGGCTGTCGCCTCAACAAGAGCCATCTGCTGCTCTGCCGGCTTGGGGTCGCTTCGCTCCCTCCCTGCCTCCCTGCCGGTCCCCTGGCTTTTCTCCTTCCGGCGCCTCCTGGTCCACTTCTTTAACCAGAACTACTGCTCCGATTCCCAGCTCGTCACCCCGCCTCACAGCGGCCTTCCGGGTGCGTCGTGCTCCGGCCCCCTGCTCGTGGGCTGCGGTTACCCCCGCTCCCGAATTATCAGGGTAAATTATGGTGGTACAGTAGTTGACAGGAGGCCCTTTGGTCCTTGTTGCTTGTTCAGATAAGGACCTTATTAGGCTTTTGACAGAGGCCGAATTGCTCAGCACAACATGTTTGGTCAATTGTCCGTTTTTTTCACGGGGGAGTCGGAGTCTGTCCCGGCCAGCGGGTTCGCCCTGGACAGGGCGCCAGCCCCTCACCGGACAGGCGGACAGAAACACAGGCGTGCACGCTCACACCGGACTGTGGGAGGAGACCGGCGCACGGGGAGAACAGCCGGTCTTCCTGCCACGTGGCTTTCTGCAGGGGCTTGTGGGAGAGTCCTTCCCAGGTGTGGGTGCGGAGGGCGGGGGTTGTGGCCGGGAAGGGGTTAACGCACGCCGGCACTCCTTGATGATGGATCGCCGGCGCTGCGGCTGCCCGGGTGGTGATGGATGGCTGGAACACGCTGTCTTGGGGTTTATCGGATAATCCAGTGGCGGGGAGTTATCTCTTCCGTGTGCCGAGCAGCCCTGGCCGCCTCCTTAATCGGGCAGTAATCCAATAAGGAGGTCTCGGCATCCGAGCGAGCCGGAGCAGCCGTTGGCTTTTCCCTGGGCGGATCGGGGCAGCGGGACAGGCGGAAGCTCTGCGGGTGGGATGAATGCGGTGAGGTGGGTGCTTCCCTGTTCTGGCTCCGGAGGGGCCCTCAGGCAGGGGGTGGGGTAATCGCACGGTTTCTGAAGAGGCGCAGAACAGCTGGTGCAAGTTAGTCAGCTTCTGGGGGGCCTGTTTGTTAAAGGCACAAGGACGGCGGGTCGTGCATGTTTATCCTCCTCTCTTACGCAGACGACGGGGCTTGGCAAGCAGGATTAGACCAGCTCTCGGTCTTCAGCTGGTACGGAGGATCTGGGATAGCAGCTCCCCGAGCGGCCGGCTCCTGTCGGCGCTGCTGGAGTGGGTCGCGATGCGCAGAAGAAGAAAAGCTGCTGTCCCGGCAGAATCCGATTTGATCATTCAGAAGTTCTCAAATCGGAGAAGGTCTCGCTGGAAAGAAATGTAACGTAGATGCGGCACAAATACAGTAACCAGAACGCATCCCTGCCAGCCTGAACTGACGCGGGGGTTTCTCCCTCATGCCCGAGGTGTGCCAAGTGGACTCGTCCAATCACTTCCCTCCTCCGGCTCTCTGCAGCGCAGCCGCTGCTGTCCAGGAGCATGCTGCCTGTCCCTCTTCCCCTCTTCCCCTGACTGGTGTGTCTTTCGTCTCTGCAGTGTGTGGAGATGCCACACACGGGGCTCTCCGGAGAGCCGCTGCAGCGGGCGGGGGGACAGCCGCCCCTCCTCGGCCTCCGCTGCACAGCTGAAGCCCCTAAAATAAGCGGCAGTGATTAAAATGGGAGGAATGCATGAGCTGAGGGCGGCACAGTGGCGCAGGGGTCAGCATTGCTGCCTCGCAGCCCGGGGGGCCTGGGTTCAGTTCCGGAAGTGGGGCGCTGTCTGTGTGGAGTTCGTATGCTCTCCCTGTGTCTGCATGGGTTTCTTCTGGGTGCTCTGGTTTCTGCTCACAATACAGTCGCATTCTGGAAGGTTAATTGGCTTCTGAGATAATTGTCCCGGTGGGAGTGTGTGTGGCCCTGTGATGTACTGGCGTCCTGCCCAGGGTGTATCCCGCCTTGCGCCCTCTATTTGCTGGGATGGGCTCAGGTTCCCCCGCGACCCTGAATTAGAGGAAGGCGCTGGGAAAGGGCCGGATGGATGGAACGTGCGAGTCAGCAGACTGAAATGAGAGGAATGCATGATTTAGCTCCACGTCGTCTGTATCGGAGCAGCGAGAGCTGTGCAGGTGATTCCGCGGCAGATGGAGGGATGCTCGTGTCAGGGCGGGCGGGGGGCCTGCCGTGACCTCGGTGCGTGGCGAGACTGTTACTGAGTCAGTGTTTTGTTCTCGGGCTTGTGAAGAGCAGCTGTTGATTAACTGCAGGGCCAAGTGTGTGAGTCTGAGTCTTGTACAGGCAGGCGTAATCAGTGCCCTGCTGGAATGTGATTAAGAATCACAGCAGAGCCACAGGCTGTGCTGCTCCCCAGATTCCTCTTGTGGTAGCAGGTGGGGAGGCGTGGAGGTTGTTCTGTAAGTCACAGCGCTGACGAGAAGCAGGCGACAGCCAGAAACCTGTATAGTTATCTGCTCAGCTGTCTGGTCCTTCCTCCTCCTGGCTGAGAGACGGATCCGCTGTGCATTGACTGGCCCGGTTCAGATCTTCCTCACCTGGCGCAGTGTCCCAGTCCAGTACCGGAGAGTCTCGTCGGCACGGAGCGGGGAGTCCGATGTCGCTTTGCTTTTTTGCATTTGATGGAATTCCTGCAGTTAAGCTGTGTGGATTCCTGTAAAAAAAGCTAGGCCTGGCAATCTAATTTGGTTTTTGGGCTTTGACTACAGTTTCACAGAAAAGAAGACCTTATTCTGTCAAATTGGGAAGGTGCTGTTGGCTGTGGAATTTCTTTTCCCTGTTGTATTTCAGTGCGATTTGTGTCAATAGCAGCCTGTTCTGGAGTCGGACAGACTCCCCTTTTACTAAGGCAGCCAGCTAAATGCCTTTTAGGTCCTTTAATTGGGTTGCTGTAGAACCGCAAGACATGTGAAATTGGATTTCATGTGCCATCCTCTGCCCTAACGTTCATGTCAGGAGAGTCCTCGTTAATGAAAGTCACCATTGTGTCTGCCAGTTTCCATTCTCGCTCTCCAGTGCAACGGGTCATAAATATTTTTTTTGCTTGTTTGCATCTGTTGGAAACATAAATTCTTTAAAAACCTTACATGCGCTTAATACGACTGTAGCAATTGCCTGTACGTGATAGTTACTGTATATCTGAGAAGAGGTCCTTCAGCCTAGGTCGTTTGTTAGGTAGTTAGGATCTAACGGATCTGATGCTTTCAGGGTGTTGGATTCAATAATAACTTGTTCCATTCTCCCACCACCCTTTGGGTAAATCTCCTTCCACATTAACATGTCAATTTGATTCGGGACTTGGCGCAGTGGTATTGTCAGTGCCGATGCCCTGAGAGTTGATTTCTCTCGTTCTGCCCTCTCGCGGTCTCCTTTATTTTGCTCACTCGCTTCCTCCCTCCCCCTGCAGGCCAGAGGACCCTGCACCACAGTGGCGATGTGCTGGAGACCCATGTTGTCGTCAATCCCTCGGACGACTTCGTCTGCTCAGAGGTGAGGCTTTTCATGATGTCGTCTGGCTGGGAGAACTGTCCCAGACACCTGCAGCTCTTTGTGTGCAGTTCTCATGAGAGCCCAGCGTGCTGAGAAAAACGTTGTGGGAGGGCAAGCCTGCTTTTTCCTAGAGGGCGCTTCTGCTTCTATCAGTAATGTGCTCAGAAGATCTCGCCTAGCATGCTCATCAGATGATAGGGGGATATGTTAACTTTTGCCTTTAATAAATCAGTTTAGTTTTTATAATGGGAAAAAATGATTAGCTGTTTGTTGTTTTGTCATAATGCTGTTAACTGGCATGCATGAGTGTCTTAATTTAAAAGGCTGTGAGTGTCTGTTGCAAACTGACCGTGTGCAGTATGCAGCGAGGATTAAGTGAGGGCCTGGTGAGATTTCTGGAAGAGACCCTTCTGTTAATCAGCGAGCCCGGCTCAGCGGTGCGCGTGACCCCCCTGCTGCTGGGAGAGGTCCCCCCCCCAGCTCAGCTCTCGGCTGGCCCCAGCCATCCACTGGCTCTCGGTGTGCTGCTCCACTCAGGGACCTCTGTGCAATAAAACTGCTTAGTGAGTGTACTTGAAAGTTTTTATTTACTCATCTGTTATGTACTGTTTTAATGGTTTTAGCACCTGTCTGTGATTTTATGTGCCTTGAGTGACCTACGAAAACCACGAAGCTGGTTTCGCACTGCGCTAGAGGCAGGTCAGGACTGGTCCACAGGCTTAATTAGTCTGTGATTGGTGAAGTGCGTGCACATTTTGTGTTGTTTCTGTAAACAAGCACAGACAGAGTCTAGGAGTAAAAAAAATCTCCTTTTCCAACAGGCTTTGAACTTGCCGTGATAGATATTTCAGTATCACGTCTTTATACCGGTTTACACAACAGGTCTTATTTTTACCACTATAAGCCTCTTGAGCTCATACCTCATTCCTTTTAAAATCCTGTTACTGGGGTCTCGCCTCATTCGATAACGGTTGCCTTTGTCTGTCAGAGAGTAAAGCCTAGACGAAGGGGCATGTCGAGGTGAATTTTCACAGCTGCCTGGGATTTGTCATGTAGGTGACTACAAACCCCACAGTGGCTGACAGGCCGCCATTTTGTTTCACACTGCTGCAGTCTACTGATCTGCTGCGCAGGTTGACTTGAAACTTGGCAGGTTGTGTCGCACCCCAGATCAGTTCAGCTTTGCACCTTGAAGGTAGCGGCAAAACCTTTTACACCCACAGGGGCCGATTCCTCGCTTGGCGAAACTGTAAAGTGTGCTCCAGGCTCTGTGGTTGGTATCGTTCTTGATTCCTTTCAGTTTCCCCACTCGTGTTCCTTCATTGTGGTCGAAGGCTTCGTACAGCATCCGGAACTGTGAGAGAAGATAAAGGGGGGAAAAAGCAATTGGAGATTGATCTTGGTGTTTTCTTGTAACTGTTGAATTTCAAAGCATGTGAAAATGTGGCAGAGATTTATGCACAAGTCCTTAAAATAAATGGTAAGCTAGCTGCTTGGAGCAGAAGCCTTTCACCATTTTAAACCCTAACCTGGCAAGTTCTGTTCGAAGTTCAGTAGCCAGACAGGTCTTCCTCTCCCATGATGCACTCCAACAGGCAGCAAAATGCTCTAAGGATTCATCGCAAAAAGTAGGGAATCAGCCAGTATTTCAAGCTGAGGGATGTTGACAAAAGGCAGATTTTGTCTGACCAAACCACGGTGATGCAAGTGGTTTCAAAGACGAAGTCTGTTTTAGAGAGATTTTTAATCTGTTTTTTGTTTATTTAGCCAGGTAATTGAGACAGTTGCAATGCTGTCCAGTTGTTTTCTTGCATCACCGTGGTTTGGTCAGACAGAAATCCTGTTCTTACTCAAGTTCTGATGAGTAGAGACCAGCATCCCCTTAAAATATCCTGCGTGTTAATTTGATCCTGATTTAAAAAAAAAAAACCCAATGCTGATCTGACACAATGGAGTCTGTAAATCCTTCATGTTTTTTAGTCATCCAGATGGAGTGTCCTACAAACCTGCTGGGCCTGTGCTTTTCATACTCCTTCTGCCTGGTGTTGAACGTGCCAAGCAGCACTGTGAGCAGAATTTGAATCTCCCAGGCGAATATCATAAAGCTGGATGCTTTATAGAACCCAGCCATACTAAACTGCAGCATTGGCAGATGAGAGAAAGTGAATTTCACACAACACCAAGCCAAAACTGGAGCAGTCACAAACACCTCGGTAGGACTTGCAGGGTCCAATGGCTGGTCACCTTCGACGGAGCTCTCGATGTGCATTAAAAAAATCAATGGGTTCACAAAATTGATAGAGTGCCTGACTGGCTATTCCCATCCTGGTGGTTACTTGCCAGTTGTGAAATAGCTTTTTTTAAATAAAAACTAAATGACTTGGCAGCTTCCCAGCAGCTCTCGGTTTTGAGATCCTAACGGCAGTTGTTTCTTTCGACCAGCATAAGACCTAATGGGATTGATTCTGATGCTGTAACCTGTCGTAAGCATTTTTGCAGTAGATTTTGCTTGTTGCTTCTTAAGTGTTCTGCTCAATTTGTTTGATACTTGCCTTAAATAAAACCTAATGGCTGGAAGGGGGAACGGAGAGAGAGAGGCTATGAAATTGCTGATTACAGATATAAACCAAATAGGAAGTCATTTCTAATGCACAAGAACGTAAAGTGCAAACAAGGAGGCCAATTGGCCAATCTCGTCCATTTTGGTAGTTAGCAGTTATTTTTTGCAAAGTCCTCAGCTATCTCTTTTTGGAAGAAACACGGCTGTAGGCTTTAAACAACCTGGCTGAGCAGCTTGTTCCATACTCCCACAACCCCCTGGGTACAGAGGTGTAGTTTCCGTTTGTTCACTCTGGTCACGCCGAAGAGGTCCACCTCGGCTGGCGTTGTTGGTGCCTTTGAAGATGCTGAACACTTCTGTCGGTTCCCCCTCCTGTCTTCACTCTTCGAGACTCAAAAGGCCCCGTGGCTTCGCCCTTAATCCCTGGGAAGTATCCTATTGATCTTCTCTGCTGTGATGCCAGAGCAGCAATGTCTTTTCTATTATGTGGCGATCAAAAGCATGCACACTGCATGATAAACGAGGTTTTGACATTCTCCTATCCGGTTTTTATGTGACATCACTTCCGTTTAATCGTATGCGTTTTAACTGTGTATCCAAGCATTTTTTGTTTACCTTTTCAAGTGCTTCTCCACTTTATCTAAAAGTTATGTCAACATCAACATCGAAGTCTTTGGGTGCATTTGCACGTCCTTGTTCCTTTGCACTTACTTCAAATGTTTAGTTTGTCATTGGCTTTTGGTTGGGGACCTTAAAATACTTGTTACAATGTCTTGTAACAAGGCTGTGAGAGGATAAGGACAGCACAGTGCGGCCAAGAGGGTTTATGTGGCTTCTGTGCAGATAAGCTCTGAGACAGAACTTAATTCTTGGCTGAAGTTGCAGGAGCTTCCCCCTGTGTTTGTCGGCAGGTGCTTGGCTTTTTCAGGTCATTTTGTCTGAACAGTTAGGAAGAAATTTGGAATAAAACCCGTTTTTCAGGGTAAACGGTGTGCTGTGGCTATTGGTTGTTGTGAGATCATTGAATTTATGAGCAAACAGTAAAGTGTGATTAAGATTAGAAGGAGAAGGAAAATGTTTTTCGGCACATCTTGAAGTAGATTCTGGCTTTACCTAATATATTTTAGCTTTGAAAGAAATCGGGGTTTATGCAAATAGTGATTTTGTATGACTTTCAATGAGTATTACACTTGGATCTACTAAGCAGGACTCTGACCATCATTTCAACATTGTTGTGATGTTCCGGGTGACGGTGGCTCTGCAGTCCTTAATTGATTGTGGTTCCAACATGAGCAGTCAATCTGTGGGCAAATTCAACGGTTTGTAGGGTATTTCCTTTTCTCTGGCAGCGTTCTGAATAACATTCATGATCTTTTTTTTTTCTAAAACAATTTTCATTGTGGATGTTGGTCTAGGAATAGGAGGGCGCCCCTCCTGTAGCCTGCCTCAGGCCTTGAGAGTGCTGCGTCTCTCTCCCTACAGGTGCGGGCCCTGATTTCGGATGTGTCCCGTCACAAACTGCTCGTCCTCGCTGGGCAGTGTGTGGAGGAGGAGGGGGACCTGGTCCTGCAGATGGGCAGCTTCTCTCTCCAGGATTTCATTCAGATCTTCGCAGATAAAGAGGTCAGCGTTCCCCTTAATAGCGATAGCGAATACTTGTGCAGAAACCCTGCTAGCTAACTAGGAATGGGACTCGGATGAGGGGTGGGCGGGTCGGAGGAGAAGAGTGTGCACGATCAGAGTCATTGCCAGGGTCTTAAGGGTCCAAAAAAGACATTTCTGGGATCTTGTAGAATCTAATTAATGGCATTAAAATAAGGTGAAACTCAGCTTTACTCAGCCCATAATGCGGTAATTTTAGATGTCATTCTTGAGGTTGGTGTTTGAAGTCTAAGTGTTTTGTGCACTTTCCTCCTCTAGATTGGTGAACTGTTGAGCTCTGCAGACCCGACGCACAAAGCCAGTCTGACCCTAGCCGGCCCAAACTCGGGCGAGTGGAAGAACTCTGTTCTGGAGAAGCATAATCTTCAGGACTTCATTGAGATCAAGACGAACCCCCCCACCATCTTGCCCGAGATGGAAGGTCTGCAGGAGTTCACCGAGTATCTCTCGGAGTCTCTGGAGCCCCGCTCTCCCTTCGAGCTGCTGGAGCCGCCCGGCACCGTTGGCTTCCTCAAGCTCTCCAGGCCCTGCTGCTACATTTTCCCTGGAGGGCGGGGAGACTCTGCCTTCTTTGCCGTCAACGGATTCAATGTTTTGGTTAACGGGGGCTCCGATTCACGTGCCTGCTTCTGGAAGCTGGTCCGGCACCTCGACCGAATCGATTCGGTCCTGTTGACCCACATCGGGGTTGACAACCTCCCTGGCATCAACAGCCTGCTGCAGAGGAAGGCGGCTGAGCTGGAAGACGACCAGTCAGCGGGGTCTCAAAGCAACGAAGACTGGCTCAAGAACCTCATCTCCCCGGAGCTGGGAGTGGTGTTCCTCAATGCCCCAGAGAGACTAAAAACCCTCCCCAGCGATCCGAAAGTGCTGAGGAGCTGCGATCAAGTGGCACTTACCTTGCAGTACCTGGAGAGGTTGTCTGTTCAGCCAGAGCCCCTGTGCCGCACCAATGGGGCTGTTATTGAGCCAGTCATCCTCTTCCAGAAGATGGGGGTTGGTCGCCTGGAGTTGTATGTCCTCAACCCAGTGAAAGGCAGCAAGGATCTTGAAACCTTGATGCAGAACTGGCCAGGCAATGGCTCCCCCAAAGGCTCAGAGATCAGTCTTCAGTGCCTAGTTTCCATTTGTGCGTTACTGGTCTGGCACCCAGCTAACCCCCTGGAGAAAATTATCCGTGTGTTGTTCCCTGGCTGCACACCCCAGGGGAAAATCTTGGAAGGCCTTGAGAAGCTGAAGCACCTGGATTTTCTCAAGCACCCAGTGGTGAGTGTGAAAGACTTGGAATCCTCCAAGTCGGACAAGCAGCCTAAAAGGGCAGAGAGCAGGGAGAGCCTGAAGTCGGTCCCAAAAGACTCCAGACCCAGCAGTGGTACACTGAAGGAAAAATTAGGAAGAGGTGACAAAAAACCTGACACTAAGGCCAAGAGCAAAGTTTCTGGAGATGCATTGAAAGAGGGACCCTGTCCAAAGGACGTGGACGAGAAATCAAAAGCTAAGGAGGAGGAAAAACAGAAGGTTGATGTGAAGCCAAAGACGTCAAAAGAGAAGCCGGCCACCAAGAAGGAGCCGGCCAAAGATGAGAAGAAGGAGGTGAAGAAGAAAGAAGAGAAACTCCCCGCGAAGAAAGAGGAGAATGGAGAGAAAAAGAAGGAAATGGTGAAAAGGGACACTGCGGCCGCAAAACCAAAGAAGGATGTCAAGCCAGAGCCCAAGAAAGAAGTCAAAAAGGAGGTCAAAGCAGAGGAGAGGAAGTTGACCAAGCAACCTGTGAAAGAGGTCAAGAGAGCTCCAGGAGCTGCCGCCTCGGCTGTGGCAGAATCGAAGAAACCGGCTGCTAAAGTTGGGCCTCCAAAGAAAGACGGGGCCCCTTTGAAGAAGGAAGCAACGTCTTCGGCCAAAGGCGCAAAGCTCAAGACGCCAAGAAAGGACACGGACAGCGAAAAGCTCTCTGTTGCTTGTGAGGGGGACGCTGAGCGCTCCAAAATGTCCACTCCGGAGGACATGACGGCAGAGTTCGAGCAGCTGAGAGAAGAGAGCGAAAGGCAGCAGCGGGGAGGCG